TATATTAATTGGTTTGTTTGTACTCGTGGCAACGATCTATAAACACAAATTTCGATCCGAATTTTATTAAAATTTATAATAATTGATAACTGCTTTGTTTATTAATAGTTATAGAATCGATCAAATGCATAAACCTTCTACGCAATGAGCTTTTTAATTTTAAAAAAAAAATCGTAACGATCGGTTCAGTAGTTTCCGAGAACATATCACTCATAGATTTTCATGTTCATATTTATATATAAAGATATTACAATTTTTATTTTAGGGAATTCATTTCTGATAATACAATCACATTTAGCWAAGCTTATCTCTTTTATTATAACTAATTAATAACATGACATATTTTATTTCATTTTCATTATTCTTACACAATGAAACATCGCTTTAACTTCTTAAAGATCTTTATATAAAAAAAATAAAAATAAAAATAGATCTTTCAATCTTTGCACGTTCAATTATTATATAATATATTACAATATATTATAATATTATCTAAGCATTAAAAAAAGGGGTGATAGATATTTATCTGGTATGGAAATATTTTATACATAATCGGAGTATCATAACCATATTTTTAGATGCAGTTTGATAAAAAAATTATATGTATTACTTTTTTTTATATACTTAGTTAAATAGTTAAATTTAATTTTAAGACTTTATACATTGAATTATAGATTATAATTGTTTTTTTATAGATTCTATATCTGGCCTAAATATAAAAACATAACATAATAATTGTTTATAGTATACACAACTACGAGTTATACCGAGTTATTTGTTTGGAAACTTGAAACATTCAATTGCTAATTATCGTTTGTCCAAGTCAAGATACATTTTTCAAATTAATTTTTAATTGCAAGCAGTGTTTCATTATTTGGTTAGGAGGAATTATTAAAAATTAAAAAAAAAAATACTTTGTAATGCAAATGTAGGTATACAACGATATTTTTAACACGATTATTACATATGTATTCTATTTCTATAAATAATAAAATGATTTACACAACGACATAATGTTATAATATGTAACTAATATCTACTTTGTTAATATTTCGGTTTTCGGCGTATGCAAGTGATGACGTCAAAACACAAGAAATTGCTCCGAGATATAATTTTACAATACCTAATGTAGTATACCTACAATATTACCTTGTGGAGCAACTGCAGACTGTCTGTCGTAGAGGCACCAAACCCTATGTTAAGGTCAGGCCATGGCCCAAAAGATTTTAAAAATTTAGGATACGGTCGCACCACTTTCCTCTCTATAATACGCCATTTTTTTCGATTTTAAGATACTGGACCTCTTATCTTAATAGTACGGGTGAACATATCTGACATAATTATAATTTGTAAACCTTTAAATTTTCTTTTTGTTATTACTAAAATGTACATAACTTCATTTCATGTCAAATTATATATCAATTTACCTAAAAATTTCAATTAATTTAATTTATGTATCTGTTATTCTATATTTATGTATTCAACATAATTATACGTCGGCTATGATTATTAATAATATAATAAAATATGTATATGTTTACATCAAAATTTTAATTATGATATAATGAGTGTTTACAATTTAAATGTGTTTAACATGTTTTCAATTTGAGAATCCATTAAATTCGATTAATTAACAAACACAATTTTAATTTTCTTTAAAAATAATATTTATAACATGGTTGTAATTTATATAAGTGATGTATACTATAATATACATATAATGAGTATAAGGCTTAAATTTGTTATTTTATCATGTTTGTGATGGTTAATTAATCTAAGTATCGTTTATTAAACATGATGCGCTGATTTGTATTGTAATGAAATTCCATTGATAGTTAATAAATTGTCGTTTGTGATTATAGGTGGAATGCAGTCATGGGTAGTTCGGAATTCGATATAATTTTATGATAATAATTAATGCATGGTATAAGTTGATTTAGCAACACCACTGGATTCATCAATTTTTTAATTTTCATCGGTATATCAGCCTAAAATTAAAGGATGTGAGTTTAATATTGTAATATTGTCAGAGTGAAATAACAAATAACATAATATAGTCTATACAGTATTGCAGTAAGTTCTAAGTTTTACTTATATAAACTGTTTATGACTTAAGTCATATATTTTTATTAATACTGTAATAAGCATTAAATTACATCGTAATATTGTCCAATTTACCTTTCGTACAGTAATCATTGTTAATTATTCAGCTGTTCCAATTGAACTCGTATAGAGTGGTTTTTCAATATAATTTAAAGCTCTATCGGAAAACCTCTTTATTCTTGTTATTGATGTTTCGTTCGCAATTTTTTCAGGATTGCATACACTACGAAACTTAATGGCTTTTGGTACAAACATTGAGAGTTTTTTGTCACGAAAATTGATCTTATAGTACACACTTAATTCCCTGATCACACCTTTTAAATGC